AGCGGTAGCGTGCTCGCCTGGCATGTGTGCGGCCTGGGTTCGATCCTCAGCACCACATACAAGCAAAGATGTTGTGTCCGCCGAAAACTAAAAAATAAATATTGAAAAACAAATTCTCTCTCAAAAAAACAAAACAAAACAAAAAACCCAGCGGCCCGGGAGACTAAGGCAGGAGGATCCCAGTTTCAAAACCAGCATCAGCAAAAGCGAGGTGCTAAGAAACTAGTGAGACCCAGTCTCTAAATAAAATGCAAAATAGGGCTAGGGATGTGGCTCAGTGTTTGAGTTGCCTTGAGTTCAATCTCCCATACCAGAAAATAAAAAATTTCAAATTATCCTTTTGTTACTGACTTCTAACTCCACTGTATTGTGGTCAAAGAATGTGTCATATATGATACTAAGTAGGGAAATTTGTTGAGCCTTTTTTATAGCTCAAGAGATGATCAGTTTTTATACACATTTCCATGTATAAACAACACCTAACAAGATTCTGTATTCTTCATTTTTCAGTACAATATTCTACATAAGCCTATTAGATCAAGTTCTTTTAATTTTGCTACTCTGAAAATCTTTCTTTTGCTACTGATTTTTATTACCTTGATATTCTATTTATTAAGAGGTATATATTAGAATCTCCCATTATGGTGGTGAATATGTATAGTTCATTTTTTGGTTTTATTATCTTTGTATTGTAAATTTTGGGACTGTGACATTAAGAAACATAAATTTATAGTTGTCATAACTCATCCAGGAATAAAATGTTTTATCATCATATAGAAACTTTCCTTATCTGTAGTGATGCTTTTTTCCCTAAAGTATATTTTTGTCAGTTATTAAAACAGCAGTTCTAAACTGGGCATGGTGTAATCCCAGCAGCTTAGAAGGCTGAGGCAGGAGGATCATGAATTGAAAGCCAACCTCAGCAATTATGGAGGCCCTAAGCAACTTATTGAGACTTGTCTCAAAATTAAAAAAAAAAAATCAAGAGCTGGGGATGTGGCTCATTGGTTAAGTGCCAGTGGGTTCAATCCCTAGTACTAAAAAACAACAACAACAACAAAAAAAAAAAAAAACAGCTTTAGTCCTACTTTTATGAGATCATAGGTTTATGAGTGGCATATATATTTTTTCCAAAATTTTTACTTCAAATGTGTCTGTGCCTTTATATCATAGGTATTTCTTATAAACAAATTGTAAACTTTTTGTTCTGTTTTCAGCCAATCTGCCCACCTTAATCTTTTGTTTCCTCCCCCAGTACCAGGGATTGAACTCAGGGGCTTTCAACCACTGAGCCACATCCCCAGCCCTGTTTTGTATTTTATTTAGAGACAGGTCTCACTGAGTTGCTTAGGACCTCCCTTTTGATGAGACTGGCTTGCACTTGGGAATTCTCCTGCCTCAGCCTCCTGAGATGCTGAGATTACAGGTCTGTACCACCCTGCCTGGCACCGCCCACCTTAATCTTTTAACTGATGTATTCTGCCCAAATACACTTATTATGATTACTGACTTGACTTTTTTCTATTTTCTTCTTAAGTAATTTTAACATGTCCTACATTTTGTTTCTCTGTTCTTCTTCCTTTTTTGCCTTCTTTTAGATTCAGGGCATATTTTAAGTTTCTCATTCCATTTTCCCCCTCTATAAATCAGAAATTATAATCTCTGTGCCTATTCTTTTAATGACTATCCTAATCACATTAACATACTATGCATTCCCCAAAAGCTTTACCTTTTGTTTCAGTTATCAATTGACATATAATAAACAATTTATTATTATCTTTTGTGGTTCTGTGAGTCAATTGAGTTCAACTGAGCTGTTTTTGCCTGGAGTCTCTCATGTGATTGCAATCAAATGGTGGCTGTGGCTGAGAACATTATAAAGATTCCATGTCTAAAAAGACCTGCTCACATGGTCACATGGAGGACAGTTGATGGTGGCTGTTGGCTGGGAGCTCAGCTGAGGTTGTCCAATGACCACCTGCTTGTAGTCATGTGATTCAAACTTTTATCAGTATGGCAATTGGGTACTGGAAGACAGTGTTCTAGGCAACTAAATGGAAGTTGCAAGACTTGGTGTGACTTAATGTCAAAGAGTCACTATTTCTATTGGCTACATAGGGCCAGCCCTGAGTAAGAATCCAAGTGTGAGAGGGAATAAAACAAGGCCATAAATGCCAGGATACATGGCTTGGAAGGGAAGGGGAGCATCTCTGCATCTTATCTACCTTGCCCTCCTCTTGAATACAAATTTAAGAATGCTTTCATTCTAGTTATGTTCCTCCCAAGCTATATGCAGTCTTTGCCTTGCATTTTAGTTTTATTGTATTATTTGTATCTCATAAACTCGTCAATATTATATTATCGTTTTATGTCATGTTTCTTATATTTACCCATGTATTTGCTCATATTTTTGCTTACATTCCTTCTCTGTCTTGGCTTTCCAGCTAAGATATTCTTTCTTTTCTGTAAAGCATATTCTTTATCAGGGTCTACTGGTAAACTGTCTCAGTTTTTGTTTGTCTGAAAAATACATTCATTTACCCGTAGGTCTTGAAAATTTGCTTCACGGTATACAATTCTAAGTTTGTTATTTCTCTCCAATACTTAAGATATTCTACTATTTTCTGGCAACCATTGCTGCTTGTGACAGTCTGTTATGGTTTAAATAGAAAGTATCCCTGAAAAACTCAGGTGTGAGATAATGCAGAAATGTTCAGGGGTAAAATGATTAGATTGTGAGAGTTATAATCTAATCAGTGGATTAGCACATTGATATGGATTAACTGGTGGGTAACTGGGCAGGTAGGGTGTGACTTTGGGGTTAATATTTTGTCCCTAATGAGCAAAACTTCTCTGCTTCCTGGCAGCCCATCCTAAGCTGCTTTCTCTGCTTCACCTCAGGCTCACAGCAATGGAGTCAGCTAACCATGGACTAAACCTTTGAAGCCATAAGCCAAAATAAACTTTTCCTTGTCTAAATTGTGCTTGTCAGGTCTTTTGGTCACAGTGACATAAAGCTAACTAAAACATAGTCTAATCTTTATTTCCTTACAGATAATTTGTCTTTTCTCTTTAATTATTTTTCAGATTGTTTTTAGCTTTGGTGTTCTGCTGTTTTATTCTAAGTGTTTAATTGTGGATTTCTCTGTGATTAGGATTTGTTGAGTTTTCTGGATCTAAGAATTAGTACTTTTCAACAATTCTAGAAAATTCCCAAATACTGAACGTTTAGCTTCCTATTAGCTCCTTCTAATATGTTCAGTGTTTTGCTCATACTTTATTCTTTATCATTTTGTGTTGGATTATGGATGATTTGTTGGTACTGATCCTCTAACTCATCACTTCTATATTTAACAGCATCTACGATGATGCTTCAATTCATCTACTATGATTTTCATTTCAGCTATATTTTCATTTCCAAATGTCCTCTTTGACTTTTGTGCAAACCTAATTATTCATTTCTATGGTCTTTTTATTCCTTAAACATTGTTAAACTTACATTTCATTTAAGACATAGTAAATACAATTATTTTATATTTTCTCTCTCTTAATATCTGAAATCTTTGAGAATCTGATTGTCCTGTGTAATTTTGTTGTTGTTTCTCACAATAGTGCATGCTTCTTTGTGATTTTAATTTTTGATTATGAATCTATACTTCTTGGAACTTTGTCTGTGAGTATCATTTGAAGACTGAGCTAAAGCTATAACCCTTCAGATCTGATCTGCATTTATTTCAACCAATCTCCTGGACATACTAGTATAATTTGGCCATTTTTTTTAATTAAATTCCCAACTTGAAGTTTTTTTGGGGGGCTACAAAGATAATTAACATGGATCTCAAATCAACATCTGCTTATAAATTCTCAGGGGAGACTTTATCTCCCCTCCGTTCCTTGTTGCATTTGAAACTGTCTAGCTTTTTTCCTGTAGTATCTTGTCCATCATTACAGCAAATATCCTGGTTTTATTCAAAAGAATCTCATACTTCCTTCCTTAGGTGGAGGGACTGATTATCTTCTGTTCTTTGCAAAGGTATGAGAAGAAAATTCTGCAATTTCTAGAACGTGGCAAAAAGTCTCAAGGAGAAAGCTAGTACTGATTCCTGCTTATTATGTTAAGTGTCTGATTCTAATTTGATAATGTTCTCTGCACAGTCCTTAACTTTTGTGTTTGTATATGTACATATCAATATTTCAGTTGTTTCCATGGAGTGGATATCATGAAGGTATTTAGTTAACCATAATGCCAACAAATGAAATGACTTCATTGGTATAGGTATGTATGTGTATATGTGTGTGGGAATCATAAACCATAAATTTTAATGTCCTAGGCTGGCTTTATTTTATACATTTCAATTGTATTTGATATAAAGCCTTATGAAATCCAAAATATTAGGCTATCCTATATTTTCAATAAAAATAATGATGAACAAAGGATTTTTATATTCTAGCAAACACACAAAGTCTATGAATAAAACAGGGATAAAAAATGACCTTTTAAGAAAAACATGTTCATATTTCAAAGTTTAGGAGCAAACCCAGGCGTGGCCTCTTATGTATAGTTTGGTGTCGGGCAGGCCTCCCATTCTCATCTATAAATTGAACCATAGTAGGTAACTCAAAGAAATATCAGAAAGATCCAGTAAGATAATGTTGACAAAGCACAGAGCCCAGAATAAAATGAAATATCAAAAGCTGGCAGCTGATATTATCAACTTGCCCCAACTGACTCTACTAGTGAGCAGGACTATAGGATTTGAACTCAAGTGGGCTTGAACCCAAAGACCTTGAGCCTTTTCAATCACAGTTTGCTAGAGAACACACAGACTGGCTGTTCCCAGAGATTTCTTGCTACACATTTTTTACTGTGCAGTGAGCTGCCCATTTCCTTACTGTAAGTTCCATCAAGACAAAGGAATGGGAGAGATCCCTTTCTGGCATAAAATTCCTGAGATAAAATTGATAAACATTCTTAACTTACTTATTAGTCATGTACTTACAGAAGATAGATGATATTAAGCTTCCCAAACAGCCTCTGGGTAAATTTTCTAATGAGTTTTTTGATACAATAAATATCCTGCGATTCTGTTCTTCGGCAATGAACCACTTCCACCTTTCCTCGGGGAGAAGTGAGTATGGACATTTTTTATCCTGTCCCCGACAGAGAGAGAAAACAATCCACTATTAGTCTGAAATGACAAACTAGTTTGGTTACAGTAATCACATAATCAGACAATTTGATTTCTATATGGCCAGAGCAAATATGGTATGGAAATACAGGTGTGCCACATTTTGTCCTGAACATTGTCTGTGGTGACTGTTACCACAAACAAGCTAAAATGTTTTGACACTAACTGTAGTTTTTGAGGATTGGCCTGTCTAGAAATCTCTATAACTCTGTTCTTTGTTTCCAATGGTTTTAAGATATTATAACAATAGGAAGAAAAACATTGAAAGGACTTATATATTGATCAGTACCCTCTTATATTTAATAAGCCATCATAGCATGTGGTCAAGAGATATATGGGGTAGGAAAGATGGTGGAATGAGATGGACATCATTACCCTAGGTACACGTATGACTGCACATATAGTGCAACGCTACATCATGTACAACCAGAGAAATGAAAAGTTGTGCTGCAACTGTGTACAATGAATCAAAATGCATTCTTCTGTCATATATACCTAATTAAAATAAATTTTTAAAAAGAGTTATATGGGAAATATTGACATCTGTTGACCAAGTTCCAAATAGAGTTCCCCAACATGGAGCCTTCAAGGACAGTAATCTTAAGAGATATACAGAGACAAAAAAGATCTGTGGTCAAATGAGTGTGGGAAATGCTGCTTGCAATAGTATTCCTGAGAGGTCATCATGCTCATGGCTAGTCCATGTGTTAAAGGATTGGTTTCTAACCTGTAGTGCCGTTGGGAAGTGCTTGAAATCTTCAGGAGGTGAGACATAGTTTTAGGAAGTGAACTCAATGGGGGCATGCCCTTGAAAGGAATATTGGGATCCTGTCCCCTTCCTGTGTTTCTCTGCTTCCTAGCCACCATGAGGTGAATAAGCCTCCTCCATCATATGGTCCTACCATGACGTACTGTGCTGCCACAGGCCCAAAGTAATGGGGTCAAGTTATTGTAGACTGAAATCTCTGAAAACATGAGTCAAAATAAACCTTTCCTCCTTAAAGCTGATTATCTCAGGTATTTTGTCAGTGATGGAAAGTCAACTAACACACCCATTAAAGGCTTTGATATGTTCCTGAATAATGTAATCTGTTTACTTTTTATAAGCCAGCATTTCCCACATAGTTTCTGAGCAGACTCTCTTATATAGAGAGTCTAAGTTCCAGTTAGACACTTTGAGAAATGCTGCTAACAGGAACAATAGGCCATAAAATGGTTTCAATTTCTCAATCTGTCTGTCTCTCTTTAACATTCCTCTTCCCTCCTTCCCTAACTAAGGAAAACTGATTTATTACACACTAACCAGTGGACTTAAAATAGAACAATATGGAACATTTCCTACTCCCTGGAATGGCAACTTCCAGTCAATACCCGCTCCAAAGATAACTGCCAATCTGACTTCAATCACAAAGATGATCTTTTGCTAAATTTTGAACATCATATAAATGGAATTATATATGTGTATATATTATATATATGTTACATGTTATATATTATATATGATTTTTCTCATAAAACATACTGTATCATTTGACCTTTTTTGTTGTTACTATACATCAAAAAACTTGAGTGCTACAGAGGCTTGAAAAAGTACTGGACTGAGCTCCTCCTTCATCAGATGAGAAAACTAAGACCCAGGAACTGAAGTGACTTGCCCCAGGATATATGTGCTTGTTCACACATAGAACCCTGGGCATTTCTTCCCAGCACAGCCTACGCCACTCCCCTCTGTGTGCTTTGTGGGTAAATGGTCCCTTTGTTTTCATTGTCCTCTTATATTCAGATTAAACTGCTGCTTGACCACTCACAAACCTTTAGACATCAAATGTGCCGGATGTGAGGGAATATAGAGGGGTATCTGGGAAGACAGTAGGGAGGCAGCAGGAATTGTTGTCCAGTAGCCTTTACCACCCTCAACTTCACAGGCTTACGAAGGGGGTTTGTCAGTACCCATAAAGAAAACCCAGGTCTTGGGGACAGCCCCCATTCCCCCAGAGCTCACAAAAACTGAGAAAGGGTCCAAATTACCAATTTACTCATTTCTTAGTAATTTCCCATTTTATAATGAGGAAATTAACAGCTGCACAGTCTACATGTCTCTGTAGCCCAGGCAGAGTTATACGAACTAAATACAAACCTGATTTCTTGGACTTTGATAAAACAGGGCACACAAGATTTATTCTGTGTGGTTTGTGGCCACTGTCATGTAGTCTTGATGTCAGGCGACTGCACCAAATTAGGGAACTCATGCCATCCTCAACTCCAGCCAGGCATTGTCTTACATAAGCATGGGTTGATAATGACAGATCATTATTTTGCAAAGGAAGACAATCTTGATATTTATGTAACATCTCCAAAACTTGAAATATTAGCTCAGTCTTTTTCATACTCAGCAGATAAAAAATAAAGATTTCTTTATGCTGTGGCAAGGCCACTCAAGAACTCTCTTTTTTTAGATCAAATACAGGGAAAGCCCAGCTATCGAAGGTGGCTTTCAGAGGAATGGCTTGGGGCTTTAGTGAAGAGCTTATTAGGCTGCAGAACCAGAGTATCAGGAATGATAGTGTTATCACTTCTTAGCTGTGTGACTTTGGAAAAGTTACTTAAACTCTATGTGCTTCAGCTTACCATCTATAAATCACAGATAATATACATACCTCAAAGAGATTTATGAATTACTTATGATATGCAAAACAGTGAACTCAGTGTGTGGCCTGTAGTTAAACACTCAGTACTTACTAGCTATCATGACTAATATCACTATCCAGTATGGACATTCTCAGGAACTGAAATAGTGGACATCAAGAAGCTGCTCACAGTTCCTGGGGCCTGAGAGGGTCATCATTCACTACGGAGATGTCAAGTCAAGAAAATCAAAGGTGAGACAATTTACTTGGGTGGACATTGTTAACCATAGGACCCTTTGTGATTAATACATTCTTTTCTAGAACAAGTAACATACCAGGTTGTAGTCAAGTTTTGATGACCTGATAGTATTTCCTTTCTAAGATGGCTTTACATAAGCCAGTGGCAATATAAACTGATTTTATACTCTGAAGATTGTTCTTAACGTTTAATTTCAAAAATGAATTTTTAATTACATGTGCAATTCATTAGTATCTCATCATTTTGGAAAGCATGAACTTTATATAAGGAGCTCAATTCTGCTTTTTTTTAGTTGTAGTTGGACACAATACCTTTATTTTATTTATTTTTTATGTGGTGCTGAGGATCGAATCCAGGGCATGTGCAAGCACTCTACCACTGAGCCACAACCCCAGCCCCTCAATTCTGCTTTTTACTGTGACAAAAACATGAACAATATAAATTTACTATTTTAACCATTTTAAAATGTATATTTTAGTGGCTTTAGGTACATTTGCATTGTTGAACAACCACCACTAATATTCACATCCAGAAATTTTTAATATGAAAACTTATTTTGAGACTCTTTTCCCACTACCCTCTTTTTTGATGAGATATGTGTAATTTCAGAATTTTCTGGTTTTTTAATTTGTTTCAATTGTTATATATGACAGTAGACTGCATTTTGGTTCATTGTACACAAATGGAGCATAGCTTTTCTTTTCTCTGGTAGTGTATGATGTAGAGTTGCACCATATGTGCAGTCATACATGTACCTAGAGTAATGATGTCCATCTCATTCCACCATTTTTCCTATCCCCATATCCCCTCTCTTCCCCTTCCTCCCCTTTGCTCAGTCAAAGTTCCTCCATTCTTCCCATGCCCCCCCACAATTTTCTGTTTTATGAGCTCAAACATGCACCATACATGCTAGGCTGGGCATGATAGCTCATCTAAGAGATATAATCACTGGAGGGTGTCTTACTTCAAATTTGGTAGAAGCATTAGAAGCCACTAGAACAATAGTCTTGTTTCAAAGGAGATGATCACAACCTTACTAACTACTATATGAATGATTAAATACTCAATTATATTTTCCATAGTCCTTGTGATTGTGAAAGTTGGTGATTGCTATGAAGAATAAAGTCTAGACACCTGTCAAAGTTATCCATAAATATTATCATTTTTGGTTTTGGTTTTAACTTAAAAAGCAAAACAGAAATAAATCAACTTGTTTGTTAAATATGATATCATAAGCTAACGCTACAAGAATGTAAAAATCCTGAATATAATAAAATAATGTATAGAGAGATGAATTAAAGCGAAAACAAGAAAAGGAAGAGAGAGTTCAAGGGAAGTTCTCCACCTACAAGTCAATGAAAATAGCTATTTGTTTATTTTTATTAGGTGATTTCTTCTTATGATAGTGACATAAATTTTTTCATTCAATTTATTTAATTATTGAAAACTGAGATAAAATATTTAAATAAAATGAATGGCACAGAGCTAGATAAAATATTTTGGTTTTGATTATAATTGAGTTTCGCAAACCTGCATAAAGTTTTTGAAGCAATATCTGTGCACAAATTTTTTGAAGCAATATCTGTGTAAGTATGTGTGATATCACTACATACATAAATATACAAATATATTTTTTCCAAATACCCAAGGAGCCTTGCAGTGGTGGAAATTCTTTTAACGAATGAGCTATCAAGCCATTAAAAAACATGGAGGAAACTTAAATGCATATCTTCACGAGAAAGAAGCCAATCTGAAAAATCTACTTATTATAGGACTCCGACCATATGACATTCTATAAAAGGCAAAACTATGTAGACAGTAAAAAAGTTCAGTAGTCCACAGAGGTTTGGGGGAGGGAGGGATGAACAGGTGGAACACAGAGGATTTTTAGGGAAGTGAAACTACTCAGTATTTTACTATAGCAGTGGACACACATTATCATACATTTGTCCAAATCCAAAGAATGTACAACATCAGTGGTGAACCCTAACGTGAACCATGGACTCTAACTGATATGTGTCACTGTGGGCTCTTTGATGATAGCACTCTAGTAGGAGGATGTTGCTAGTGGAGAGACTTTATGGCAGGGGAGGGACTGGGTAGGTGGAGGAGGTAGGTGGGAAATCTCTATACCTTTCACTCAATTTTACTGTTAACGTCTTTAAAAAAAGAATTTGCTGTTAACTTCTTTTATAATTTTTTTTTTTTTTTGCTGTTAACTTCTTTCACACAAAAAAATTATTTAAAATTTTTTTTCTTAATAATGGCTTGATTACTCTGATATTGAAAGCAGGTCAAGTGTTATACCAGCTAGCACTTACTAAGCATTTTACACATATTACCTCCTTAATCCTAGGGAAATAAGTATTACTATATTCGTTTTATACTTGAATACATTGAGGCTACAAATTTTAAGTCATGCATTTAAACATCAGTTTCTAAAACAAGACTAGGTGGTTTGTTAGTTACTCTACTGAGGTATTTTCACTTTTTCCTACTGTCTGACTTCAACATGCCTCCTGTTTTTTTAAATTCCAAATCTCCCGAGTTCATTATTTCCACACAACTTTTGGGAAACCAAAAAACGAGGGGAAAGACCTCGGAGACTACAAAACCCAGAATGCCCCGCGGCGGCGGTCAGCCAAGCAACGCGGTAGCTGTCCATGGGCACGCTGGGAATGGTAGTTTCCTCCCCTGCCCCTCTGACCTCACCATCGAGCATCCAGATTCGGGCTTGGTTCCTGCTTTTTTGCAGAGTACCACGGCTGGATAAATCCACCGAGTCCCGGAGACGGACCCAGACCCTGCGTGCCTGAGGGGCAAGCCAGCGTTACCCACCTTACCGGCAACTCCAAGAAGCCGCACTCCACCCACAGCTCCAATGAGGACGCGCAGCCTGGTTACCACGGAAACGACGCCGCATTCGTCACGGCGCGTGAGGAAGGCCAAAGGTCACCCAGCGAGTTCCGCTTCCGGTTCCGGGACCCGGTTTGTTATCGGAAAGCTTTGTGGTCTTGGCGAGCCCTCTGGAGTGATCTCTGGGGTCTGGTGAGGGCAGGGAATCTCCTGAAGCCAGCTGCTGCAGACATGGCGGCCTCCACCGCAGCCGGGAAACAGCGCATTCCCAAAGTGGCCAAGGTAGGCGATAGCGAGGGGCTTTGTGGGAGGGGGTCCGGGAAAGAGGCTTCCCCCACCCGCAGCCCGGGTGGTGCCCGGGTCAAGAGGGTATTGTCTGGGGGACAGGCCCTCTCTGGGAGCGTCCGTAGGGGAAACTAGGGGTCTTGCTCCCTAGAGCACGACTTGCACTGATTGGCATAGCCCTCGTTCTGGAAGTAATTCTTGCAGGGCAAGGTGGGGTCGTTCGGCAAATATTTGTCGAGCCAGGCACAGTGTTAGGTGCTGGAATTCCACCCTAAACGGGCAATTGGCACTACTCAAAACACGAGTAAATGTGAAGTGGCAGTCTTGCTAAATGTTACTCAAGCAAAAGGGTTGTGTAGGGCGGTCTACAGAGTACACTTGGCTGAGGACTTGAAGGCTGTGTGAGAGTTAGCCCAATTGATATTGGAGGGAATGAGAGTAGATAACAGGAGTTGCTTAGTGACCCAAATTAAATAATTGTAGATTTATTATCTGGTATTTTCAAGGATGGCTGATACTAGTTCTTAATATATGGCAGGCTTTGTCCTAAACCCCTACAGATACTCTTTCTCCTATGGTTTTTCCAACCCTAGGGCTTTCTTAAGCTTGACCTTCAGATATCAGTCTAGATGGATTTCAGAGATACTGCATATAAAGCACTTGTGTTCATTAAATACAAATTATCTTCGTCATCATAATCATCATTGCTCCATGCATGACATTAAATATTAATTTTTATTAAATATTTCTTACTCAGTTTTTTTTGAGGTACTAGGAATTGAATGTAGGGCCTTGCACATGCTAGGCAAGTGCTTTGCCACTGAGCCACATTATCAACCATTTTTATTTTGAGACAGAATCTTGCTTACTTGCCCAGGCTGGTGACGAATTTGAGATCTCCTACCCACTGTGCCTGGCTAATTCTGCAAACTTTTATTGTCATCACTGGTTCAGTAGAAATAGAATGCCAGCTATATTAAAATTTATAGCCACATTTAAATGTAATTTAAACATTTTTCATACCCACATTTAAAAATGCAAAATACAGATGACTTTAATAATATATTTTATTTAATCCAGTGAATTCAAAGTGTTCATCATGTAATTAGTATAAAAATGTTTAGTAAGGGCTGGGGTTGTGGCTCAGCGGTAGAGTGCTCGCCTAGCACGTGCAAGGCCCTGGGTTCAATTCTCAGCACCACATAAAAATAAGTAAACAAAATAAAGATATTGTGTCCAACTGTAACTAAAAAATAAATATAAAAAATGTTTAGTAAGGTCGTTCATTCTTTTTTTAATACTAAGCCTTAAAAATTAGTGTTTTACACTTATAGGCCAACTCAACATAGACTCACTATATGTTACTCATAGCCACTGTGTTGGACAACACAGTTCTAAGACCTCAAGAAGCTTGGAGTCTAATGATGTTCAGGAAGTTTAAGTTGACTTAAAATGCTGTGAAAAACCAAACCAAATGATCAACAAGGGCATTAAAATAAGTTTAAGAATTCTGTAAATGGGCTGGGCATGGTGGTGCACGTGTTTAATCCCAGTGGCTTGGGAGGCTGAGGCAGGAGGATGGCGAGGTCAAAGCCAGCCTCAGGAAAAATAAGGTGCTAAACAACTCGGTGAGATCCTGTCTCTAAATAAAATATAAAATAGGGCTAGGGATGTGGCTCAGTGGTTGGATGTCCCTGAGTTCAATACCTGGTACCAAAAGAAAAAAAAAAGAATTCTGTAAATGGAAGTCATAATGCTAGGTAAGAAACTATACAACTCTTGATAAAGCAATACCTCTGATGAGAATTTTACCTAGTCTCACAGTTTATTATAGTCATCTAAAAGGGAAAACTTGCAATTATTTTTGCCACCTTTTTCTCTTGAGACTTTTACCTATTTGTAGTAGGTGTAATTCCATATCAAAATTTTTTTCCTATTCAGTCTCATGGAGAAATGTGAACATGGCATACCAAGAGGGCATCTTGTAGTCATACTTAGGAAGTTCACATCCTAAAAACTTTGTGCTTGTTTCTTATACCCTGTGTAAAGAATATCTACCAAAAATAGACATGTCTTCTTTCTTAAAAGGTAAAAAATAAAGCCCCAGCTGAAGTGCAAATAACTGCTGAACAACTTTTACGAGAGGCTAAAGAAAGAGAACTTGAGCTTCTTCCACCTCCACCTCAACAGAAGATCACAGATGAAGAAGAATTAAATGATTACAAACTAAGGAAAAGAAAGGTTAGTTCATCCACTAAATGTTAAGAGTTTATAGGTTGGTTTGGAAAGATCCTTATTGCTTTGAATGTATAAAAATGTAATGAAGTGTTTCTGTTTCTAGCCACATGAATATATATATTTTTTGGTTATCAGATAACTGTGTTCTATAGAAATAAATTATATATATATGTATATATATGTGTGTGTGTGTGTGTATACACACACACACACACACACACAAAATGTGCCATGAATTCTTTTTAAAAGAAATTAAATTCACTAGAGACATAATTTTTAGTGCTGAACCAAAGATGGGTGGAAGTTTAACAGGCAGAACAGCTGGCACATGGAAGAGAGGTCTGCTTGGCAAGGCTCATTGTGTACTTCTGTCTGTATCACCTGTTGTGGTTAAGAGTTAGGACCTGGGGAAGAACCACAAGAAGGCTTTGGCATCTGGTTTGACCTCCTCACTCTAGAATGTTGGGTTACTTTTACCCACTAATCCTGCTGTGCCCACTTATTTGTTATTCTCAATGAGTTGCATAGGAAATTCTGAGAATTACTGAGAGAACTTAAAGGTAATATTTGAAAACATTTTCTTATGAGGAGCATCAATAGAGCTATTAAAGTATCAGTTGTCATGGACTAGAGACAATATCAACAATTCTGCTAGTAACTTTTTATATCTACAGTTTTCTTAAAGAAACATGTGATTATAAACTTCTTTAGTGAGTTTCTTATTTCTCAAAGACTCCAGCATGTAACTTCTCTTAAATAAGAATAAAATGAACAACAGTTTCAAAAGAAGGCTTAGAATAGGCAAAAGTAATCCTATTTTAAGTCGGTTTCCCTTTATTGACCCTCTTTGCCTTCTTCCAGACTTTTGAAGATAACATAAGAAAAAACAGGACAGTGATTAGTAACTGGATAAAATACGCACAATGGGAAGAAAGTCTAAAGGAGATTCAAAGGTAAAATTGCTAAGATTATAATTGTGTATATAAAGATGCCATAAATTAAAGATATAAAAATATAGAAAATATTGTTGTTGAGAGTATAATTTTGTAGGTAAAGATGTCATAAGTTGACAGGTAAAAAAGAACAGAAAAATTTAAAGCACAAATAAAAGAGTATGCCTCTGGTATTTGTTCCATGGAACCCAAGGGTTCCCGTGAAGGGCCTCAGGGTTGCTTCATGAATAATCCTGAGGGTCGTGGCAAGAGGAGGTTCCACAGGTATGTCTTGCCACCAGCACACACTGCAGATACGGAAACCTAGAGTCTGCCTCTAGATTCACCAGCTTTATATGTTATTGAGATTTTTTTGAAGATAAAAGTGGTCTGCCAAAAAACAGTGACCAACAAGATAAAAATTGTATCCTGATCCTTGGTGTTATGTAGCTTTTCTGCATTCTCCCCTCGCTCCCTTTTCCCTAGTGTGCCTGTGTACTTGCCACTCCCTCAGTACATTATTTCTCCTTGTCATGTCACTTGGCTGTTCTCTCTACCTGTTAGAAGTACTCTTCCCCACAACCTTAGGCTCCAGATACATTGGAACTCTCTTCAAGTTCAGAATTCTAGGCTAGATGATGTCCACCACACATCATCATTTCTTTCTCCCTATTTCCTGTGCAGATCTTGACGATAATGTGTATCATATTGTACTGTAGTTACAAGCTAGCCTATCCTTCTGTAAGACTTTATAAGATACTTGAGAATTTGCTATTTCTTCATCATTTTATGACCAGAACCTGGCTCATGGTAGACACTCAATGAAATTCAGACAGTTTGAAATAATGACTACATATATTACATGCACTTTTTTTTTTTTATACCCTTTAAATCTTGCTTCTTAAGGGCACGATCCATATACGAGCGTGCTTTAGATGTAGACTATCGAAATATTACACTCTGGCTGAAATATGCAGAAATGGAAATGAAGAATCGCCAAGTTAATCATGCCCGAAATATCTGGGACCGTGCCATCACAACTCTGCCACGAGTCAACCAGTTCTGGTAAGCTTCTGATCTAATAGAATAGCCTTTTGTAGACGAGAAAAGTTCCCCAATTTTGTGTATTTCCTTTATTTATATAGTTATAACGTTGTACATAATTAAATTTGCATCCTGTTTTTAAGGTCTTATGAGTGTTTTTTAATGATCTCTTGTCATAAACCTAATGTTAATAGTTTTGTAATCAAAACTAAAACTTTGATTACGATAATATTTCATGCATTAGAAACTTCTTGTTGGAGTAGGCACTCTTTTAAAAAAAATACTTTTCCCTCTAAGGTTCATCCTTTTTCAGGTTTATATTTCAGTGGAAAACATGTTTGATTTAACCATGAGGAAAGATAAAATTTAAATCTTTCCATTAATAAAAGAATAGCTAAAAATTGTCCAGGCTCATTTTTTCCCTAAGTCATTCTCACGACAGATATTTTTGGGTGATCTTATTAAAGGTACAAGTACACATACATGGAGGAGATGTTGGGGAACATTGCTGGTGCCCGCCAGGTGTTTGAGCGCTGGATGGAATGGCAGCCTGAGGAGCAAGCTTGGCACTCCTATATCAACTTTGAGCTAAGATACAAAGAGGTGGAACGGGCCCGCACAATTTATGAACGATATATCCTTTGAATGAGATATGAGTGGTACTGTTATTGTCCTGGGAGCTACTCCTCCCATAGAGCTGTTATGGACAGGACATGGAGCCATTAATGTTACACCAGAAGTCAGATGTGTGTGTATATACAGTTTCCCTAGGAGTAATGGCTTGGCATTCAGTGTTTGCAGTGACTTTATAGAACATTACCTACTGTAAATAAAAAGAATCAGCTTTATCATGCAATGTTAAGGTCTTCTGTCTCGATTTGTTTTAACATTAGTTTCATAAAAGCTTTCATAGCATTTGCTGTGTGCCATACATTATTCTAAACACTTTAAAAATAATATCAATCCCTCTTGACAGCTCTACAATGCAGGAACTACTCCCATTCTGCACTTGAGGAAACAGATGACTGAGTAAGTGGCATGACCGAGATCTCACAAGTATTGATGGAAGTGGGATTTGAACCTAGCAGAGCAGCTTCATAACTGACATTCCTAAAGTCTTTACCATATTTGAATGTATTACTATTTTGGAAATTAATTCTCTCTTCAGGGAAGATAGATTAAAAATAGGTTCTGTTAGGAAATAAAATGGTAATTCAAAACTTTCTCTTTTGGCAGTTTTCTTCATGTGGTATGGTTATTCCCCCCTCCCCTTAATCACAAGTTTAAGTATTAAAGTTATTGAGCTTATAATAATATAGATACCATTTATTGACTATATTATTTATTTTTGTTAATAATACATTGCATCTTTTTTTAAATTTTTAATTGATTTTATTTTTTAAATACATGAGAGTGGAATGCATTATAATCTTATCACACATATGCAGCACAATTTTTCATATCTCTGTATATAAAGTGTTCACACTAATTCATGTCTTCATACATGTACTTTGGATAATGATGTCTATCACATTCCACCATCATTGCTTACCCCCTACCCTCTCCTTTCCCCTCCCACCCTTCTGCCCTATCTAGAGTTCGTCTATTCTCGTCTAGGAGAGGTGCTCCCCTTCCCTATCCCATTATGGGTCAGTCACCTTATATCAGAGAAAACATTTGGCATTTGTTTTTTTGGGCTTGGCTAACTTCACTTAGCATTATTTTCCCCAGTGCATTTACCTACAAATGCCATGATTTTATTCTCTTTTATTGCTGAGTAAAATTCCGTTGTGTATATATGCCACATTTTTGTAATCCAATTATCTACTGAGGGGCATCTAGGTTGGTTCTACAGTTTAACTATTGTGAAATGTGTTGCTATAAACATTGATATGGCTGTGACCCTGTAGTATGCTGTTTTTAAGTCCGTTGGGTATAGACTGAGGAGAGTGGGATAGCTGGGTCAAATGGTGGTCCCATTCCCAATTTTCCAAGGAATTTCCATACTGCTTTCCATATTGGCTGCACCAATTTGTAGTCCCACCAGCAGTGTATGAGTGTGCCTTTTTTTCGCACATCCTCACCAACACTTACTGTTGTTTGTCTTCATAACAGCTGCCATTCTGACTAGAGTGAGATAATATCTTAGAGTAGTTTGATTTGCATTTATCTAATTGCTAGAGGTGATGAACATTTTTTCAAATGTTGTTAATCATTGTGTATCCTCTTCTGAGAAGTGTCTGTTCATGTCCTTGGCCCATTTATTGATTGGGTTATTTGGTTTTTTTGGTGCTTAGCTTTTTGAGTTCTTTATATACCTTAAAGATTAGTGCTCTATCTGATGTGTGAAGGGTTAAAAATTTGCTTCTAAGATGTAGGTTCTCTATTCACCTCACAGATTGTTTCTTTTGCTGAGAAGAGACTTTTTAGTTTGAGGCCATCCCATTTACTGATTCTTGGTTTTGATTCTTATGCTATAGGAGTCTTATTAAGGAAGTTGGGGCCAAATCTGATATGATGGCGATCAGGGCCTATTTTTTCTTCTATTAGACACAGAGTCTCTAGTTTAATTCCTAGGTCCTTGATCCATCTTGAGCTGAGTTTTGTGCATGGTGAGAGATAGGGGTTTAATTTCATTTTGTTGTATATGGATTTCCAGTTTTCCCAGCACCATTTGTAGAAGAGGCTATCTTTTCTCCAATGCATGTTTTGGGCACCTTTGTCTAATATATAATTGTAATTTTGTGGGTTAGTCTCTGTGTCCTCTATTTTGTACCATTGGTTTACCAGTCTCTTTTGGTGCCAATACCATGCTTTTTTTGTTACTGTTGCTCTGTAGTATAGTTTAAGTTCTGGTATAGTGATGCCACCTGCTTCACTCTTCCTGCTAAGGATTGCTTTAGCTATTCTGGGTCTCTTATTTTCCCAATGAATTTCGATGATTTTTCTTATTTTTCCTGATGATTGCTTTTTCTATTTATATGAGGAATGCCATTGGGATTTTGATTGGAATTGCATTAAATCTATATAGTGTTTTTGGTTGGTCATTTTGATAATATTAATTCTGCCTATCCAAGAGCAAGATAGATCTTTCTATCTTCTAAGTTCTTCTTTGATTTCTTTCTTTAGGGTTCTGTAGTTTTCATTGTATAGATCTCTCACCTCTTCCGTTAAGTTGATTCCCAAGTTGGGTTTTTTTTGAGGCTATCGTAAATGAGGTAGTTTTCCTCGTTTCCCTTTCTGAGGATTTGTCACTGTTATACAGAAATGCCTTTGATTTATGGGTATTGATTTTATATCCTGCTACTTTACTGAATTTATTTACTAGTTCTAGAAGTGGAGCTTTTTGGGTCTTCTAGAATCATATCTTCAGCAAATAGTGCTAATTTAAGTTCTTCCTTTCCTGTACATACCCCTTTAATTTCTTTCATCTACTTGCTCTGGCCAGTATTTCAAGAACTATGTTAAATAGAAGTGGTGAACGAGGGCATCCCTGTCTTGTTCCAGTTTTTAGAGGGAATGCCTTCAGTTTGTCTCCATTTAGAATGATATTGGTCTGGGGCTTAGCGTAGATAGGCTTTACAATGTTGAGATATGTTCCTGTTATCCCTAGTTTTTCTAGTGTTTTGAACATGAAGAGGTGCTGTATTTTGTCAAATGCTTTTTCTGCATCTATTTGGATGATCATATGAGTCTTTATCTTTAAGTCTATTGATGTGATGAATTACATTTATTGATTTCCTTATGTTGAACAACCTTGCATCCCTGGGATGAATCTTACTTGATCATGGTCCACGATTTTTTTTTTTTTTTTTTTTTTTTGAGAGAGAGAGAATTTTTTAATATTTATTTTTTAGTTTTCGGTGGACACAACATCTTTATTTTATTTTTATGTGGTGCTGAGGATCGAACCCAGCGCCGCGCACATATCAGGCAAGCGTACTGCTTGAGCCACATCCCCAGCCCCCACGATCTTTTTGATATGTTTTTGTATTTGATTTGCCAGAATTTTATTGGGAATTTTTGCATCTATGTTCATTAGAGATATTGGTCTAAAGTTTTCTTGCTTTGATGTGTCTTTGCCTGGTTTTGGAATCAGGGTGATATTGGCCTCATAGAATGAGTTTGGAAGTGCTGCCTCTTTTTCTATTTCCCGGAAAAAAAATTGAAGAGTATTGATATTAGTTCTTCTTTAAAGGGCTTGTAGAACTCGGCTGTATATCCATCAGACCTGGGCTTTTCTTGGTTGGTACACATCTGATGGCGTCTTCCATTTCATCACTTGATATTGGTCTGTTTAAATTGTTTATATCTTCCTAAATCAATCTGGACAAATCTTATGACTTAAGAAATTTATCAATGCCTTCAATATCTTTTATTTTATTGGAGTACAAGTTTTCAAAATAATTTCTAATATTCCTCTGTATTTCTGTAGTGTCTATTGTGATATTACCTTTTTCATCATGTATGCTGGTAATTTGAGTTTTCTCCTTTTCTTCGTTAGCATAGCTAAGGGTTTGTCAATTTTATTTATTTTTTTCAAAGAACCAACTTTTAGTTTTGTCAATTTTTTCATTTGTTTCTTTTGTTTTGATTTCATCTCTAATTTAATTATTTCTTGCCTTCGACTGCTTTTACTGTTTATTTGTTCTTCTTTTTCTAGGCCTTTGATATGTAATGTGAGGTCATTTATTTGTTGACTTTTTCTTCCTTTAAATAATAAACTCAATGCAATGAACTTTCCTCTTAGAACTGTTTTCATAGTGTCCCAGAGATTTCGATATGTTGTGTCTGGGTTCTCATTAACCTCTAAGAATTTTTTAATCTCCTCTTTGATGTCTTCTGCAACCCATTGTTCATTCAGTAGCATATTGTTTAGTCTCCAGGTGATGGAGTAATTTTTATTTTTTATTTTGTCATTGATTTCCAATTTCATTCCATTGTGATCTGATAAAATGCATGGTAGTATCTCTACTTTTTTGTATTTGCTAAGAGTTGTTTCGTGGCATATTATGTGGTATATTTTAGAGAATGATCCATGTGCTGCTGAGAAGAAAGTGTATCTGCTTTATGCAGGTTGAAATATTCTATATATGTCAGTTAATTCTAAGTTATTGATTATATTATCGAGTTCTATAGTTTCTTTATTCAACTTTTGTTTGGAAGATCTATTCAGTGGTGAGAGAGGTGTGTTAAAGTCACCCAAGATTATTGTGTTGTGGTCAGTTTGACTCTTGAACTTGAGAAGAGTTTGTTTGATGAATATAGCTGCACCATTGTTTGGGGCATATATATTTATGATTGTTATGTCTTGTTGGTGTATGGTTCCCTTGAGCAATATGTAATGTCCATCTTTATCCCTTTTGATTAACTTTGGCTTGAAGTCTACTTTATTTGATATGAGGATGGAAACCCCAGCTTGCTTCCGCAGTCCATGTGAGTGGTATGATTTTTTTCAACCTTTCACCTTCAGTCTGTGTATTTCTTTTCCTATCAGATGAGTCTCCTGGAGGCAGCATGTTATTGGGTATTTTTTTTTTCTTATCCAATCTGCTAGCCTATGTCTTTTGATTGGTGATTTTAAGCCATTAGCATTCAGGGTTATTATTGGTACATGGTTTGTATTCCCAGCCATAATTGTTTATTTTTGTTATTTAACTTGACTTGATTTTCTTCTTTAATTAGTTTTTTCTTTAGGGTACTACCTCCCTCTGCTGATTTTCATTGTTTTTTGTTTCCTCTTCATGGAGTATTTTGCCAAGGATGTTTTGTAGTGCCGGTTTTCTAGCTATAAATTCTTTTAACTTTTGTTTATCATGGAAGGTTTTTATTTCATATTCAATTCTAAAGCCTAATTTTGCTGGATACAAGATTCTTGGTTGGCACTCATTTTCTTTCAGAGCTTGATATATGTTGTCCCAGGGTCTTCTAGCTTTCAGGGTCTGTGTTGAAAAATCTGCCGTTATCCTAATTAGTTTCCCCCTATATGTAATCTGATTCCTTTCTCTTGTGGCTTTTAAAATTCTCTCCTGATTTTCTATGTTGGGCATTTTCATTATAATGTGCCTTGGTGTGGATCTGTTTTAATTTTGTACATTGAGCGTCCTGCAGGCCTCTTGAATTTGGATTTCTAATTCATTCTTCATGTTTGGAAAGTTTTCTGATATTATTTCATTGAATAGATTGCTCATTCCTTTGGTTTGGAACTCTATGCCTTCCTCTATCCCAATAACTCTTAAATTTGATCTTTTTATGCTATCTCATATTTCTTGACCTGAGGATTGTGGAGGTAACCAGGGTGGGAAGTCTGGTCCTGGTGCAGGTCACCTGGAAGCGGGGAGTGGCACCCGCCAGTCCCTTCAGGAAGACGGCACTTCACGGGTCTCTTTTTGGGACCACTCATATGACTTGAGCACCTGGTGCTCTCTCCCTGTCTTGCCTGGAGTTTTCCTAGTTCCTGGTTTCTCCATTAGGCTCCAAACTTTAGCCCCATCTCCCTCCCCCAGCAGTTCCCAATTGAGGACCCTCTCACACCGTGGCTCCCATGGGTAGCTCCATGGTCACACTGCACACCTGTGTTTGGCAGCTACTATGTTGGATTACCGCTGCTGGGGAGGGGGGAGGTTGGAAAGCTGTTACCTGGTCACTGGAGATCTGATCTGGGAGCTGCCCCCACCTAACATGGCGAGAATGTTGAAGTAAGATGGAGGCAGTCTGCTTTCAGCGCCGGGGTGTCTGGTAAGGTAGGGGGAAGTCAGATAATGGCATTGTGCTATGGGTAGGTAGCAGCTTAGTGACCTGTGTGGGAGCTGAGCGAAGTCTTGGTGATCTGCAGATGTGTTGATAGGTGATTCTGCTAAGGTGCTCCCGAGCCTTGGTTGGGCTAGAACTTTGGTCTTGAACTTCGGGTTTTGGGTCCTGCTCGAATGCCAGGCATCCTATTCCAACGCTGAGGCCTGGAGCCCTTCGCGGGGTCACAGCGCTGGTGATTTCTACAGAGAGCAGCTGTATTGGGGTCCTCTAACACTCTCAGAGATGCAGTATTCCGAATAGGTGAGATCTGGATTATTGAGCAACACAGAATGCTGCCTTCTCTGGCCCACCATCTTGAAAACCCTTATTTTTTAAATTTATTATTGCAATACTAAAGATAGAACCCAGAACCCCATGCATGCTAGGCAAGTACTCTACCACTAAGTTATACCCTCAGCCCTTGACTCTGTTCTTTTAGCCAGAAACTGGTAAGGGATTTATATATTTTTTTGTCATTTAAAACTGACAGTAACCTATTGTGGTTGGTATTAGTTTTCCATATATACAGAAGAAAAAGCTGAAACAAATGAAATTACTTGTCTGCAATTACATGATTAGTAACCAGCATTGAGATTTCTCTTTGGCTTCAAACTTCTATTTATACCCACTACTACAATATTGAATAAACAATGAGGGCACATAGAGGCAAAATACCCTTGTGAAGGCCAGGGATGAGTTTTATTGCACCTTTGTATGTTTGTTATCAACCCTAGAGGGTAGTTTGAATTATTGGGGTGTTAGGGTTTGTTATGGTTTGTTATGGTTTTGGTATTTATGTGATTTTTTTTAAAAAGCCATGTTATCTTTCCTGGTATTTCCTTAATTTCCCTGTACTTGTCCTTGTACACCCTGATGTGAAGAACTGGATCAAGTATGCCCGCTTTGAAGAAAAACATGCTTATTTTGCCCATGCACGGAAAGTGTATGAGAGAGCTGTTGAATTCTTTGGAGATGAACATATGGATGAACACCTTTATGTTGCCTTTGCCAAATTTGAGGAAAATCAGAAAGAAGTAAGTATACTTCAGTAACTTGATTGCATTGTGAAACATCTTAGAAAAGGTTACATCTTGTGCACAATGAGGTCATTTCCATTTTTTTCTTACTCATCTTTGGAGAAAATGTTTTGCAAAGACAAAAATAATTTCATATAGAAAATAACATACATATATGACTGAGCTGCAGATTGGGAATTGAGTGTTTATAGATTTCACTATAATTGTCTTAATTTTATTTTATTTGTTTGAAAGTTAAGCTTTTAAATCTTAATGTCTATAAACTGTAGAGTTCTTTGGCAGCTTCATTAAAGAAAGGTAAAAAACCTGGACAGCAAAAAGCCAAAAGCTCATAGAACAGAGAACAGAATTCAGAATGAAACAGATATTGCACCACAAAATAAGTTCTTCTCTTTCTTAGTTATACAAAAGAATTTCTGACAGTACCTCCAATAATGTAGATTTGACAGAGTTAGGCTGAGACCTTGTACAAATGCTGGAGAGTCCAGGTTCTGTTGTAAAAGGGAAGGATAGAAGGGCTTGAAGTGGGTGATGGAATATGATTTATATTTTAAGGAAAACTTCTGGCTAATTTATAGAGAATATATTGCAGAGGAGGGGGGATTAGCAAAAGTAGAATGAGGTGAGACTTACGGGGAGACTTTTGAAATGATCCAGGTTAGAAATGGAGATAGGTCAGCAACAGGGAGAGAAGAAAAGGACTGTGTTGAAGAGGTAGAAATGGCAGGACCTGTTGAAGAAATGAATGTGGAAAATGAGAAAAGAAAAGGAACAAAGAGGAGATTTTGATGTGAGCTAGCATGTGACTATAATGTTGCCTACTAAAATTGGGAAGACTGGGAATGAACCAGCTTGGGAGTGGGAGAAAGAAGTTCAGTTTGGGTCCTGGTTAGTTTGAGATTTGCAATAATCCTCCAACTAAAGTATTAGCTAGCCAGCATTATATGTGAAGCTCAAAGGAGAGCTTCTGACACAAATACTTTCAACCAAAGAGAGAAGAAAAGGTTTATTTTGGACATTTTGATACCTTAAAATTTTATAGTTTATACCACAATTACTCTCTTTTTTCATGACTAGAATGAGAATGTGTAATGGAAGGTAGTCATCCTATCTGCTTTTAGTTTGAAAGGGTACGAGTCATCTATAAGTATGCCCTGGATAGAATTCCAAAACACGAGGCCCAAGAACTCTTTAAAAATTATACCATCTTTGAGAAGAAGTTTGGCGACAGGAGGGGTATTGAAGACATCATCGTGAGCAAACGGAGATTCCAGTATGAAGAAGAAGTGAAGGTGGGTGCTGGTGTGGGTGGTTAATTCTGAAGTGCTCATCAGTACTAGTTGCTCTGGCATAAAGAATGGCTAGTTAGGACTATCAGTGGTAACTCTTTTTAAGGAGATCTGTGATCAGCTGGCACATTTCAGACAAGTTAGAATATAGAGGCTGATAGGAAAAGGCAGGCAAACCATATTGGATTTGCTCTACCATTCACAAGTGGAAAGTCATCTATTGGTTGCTGATTGTGTATGTGGAACTTGAAAAGAAATGTAGAAACCAGTTGAGCTCATTTTTGGAAGAAGATGGAAGAGTTGTAGGTTTCTAAAATCCTGTTTTGCACATTATTGCCCTTTAGCTTTAACTGCCTGGACAAAAAATGTATCGTAGATATAATTCTATTCTCATCTCTGTGTACTGTGTTGATTTCAATTTAAAATAATAGCATTTTCCTTCACTGTTATGCTATGTATTTAAAATTATTTTTGCTTACATTAAAATCTCTCCAAGCAAAGGAGTAATTCTGGTGTTAAGTGCTGTGGTAGGTCAGCAAGGTATTTTCAAGAAAAATTACTATTCTCTGAAAATGCAAGGTTCATAATTGTATGATAAAAATCCATTGTAATTTTATTATAAATCCAGTGATATGTAGTCATATGTATGTGCACCTTAATAAGGATGATATCTCATTATTTAGTAGTTACCTGGGAGTGATAACTCTGGAGGAAAGGGCCACACCTAGCCAGTAACCTCTCCTTTGGTTTCCTTTTATTTTTTTATTTATACATTTTCAGAAACGGTGTTTTTTAAATTAGATAACAGGTAAAATCTAACAGAAAAGATGCTAATCTATAAAGAGTTATTCTGTGCCTCCTTTCAGCTCACATAGTATAGCTTTGGTTTTGTCTTTATTGATAAAGCAGCTTATCTTTCTAGGCTAATCCACACAATTATGATGCATGGTTTGATTACTTGCGGTTGGTGGAAAGTGATGCAGAAGCTGAAACTGTGCGTGAGGTCTATGAGAGAGCCATTGCCAATGTCCCACCCATTCAGGAGAAGAGGCACTGGAAGCGCTACATATATCTTTGGATCAACTATGCACTCTATGAAGAATTAGAGGCAAAGGTAAAAATATTGAATTTTATGTCAGCTGTTAATGATTTCCTTGTGTTGAGTGTGTACTCATAGCTTGTCTGTTATGGGTAGTGGATGATAGTTATAATCCTTGAAACAGAGAAGTTTAATTTTAAATTCTTACAGGCTTCTGTTCAGCCATAAAATTATATATTCTCTCTGCAACATTTTAAATTCTCTATTCCTGTTGTGGGAAAAGTTTAGGTAGTGTGTGTCTCTGTGTGTGTGTTGTCTTTCTTTGAAGCATTAGGAATTGAACTCGGGGCCTTACACATGCTAGGCAAATGCTAAACCACTGTTTGTTTTTAAAACCTGAAAATAAGATAATGTTTGGAACTTGAAAGGGAATAAAGAACCAGCCCTCAGGTTAATTATATGTATTAATTTTATATAGTTTCCTATAATTTATGGTTTTTTTTCACAAATATAGCTCACAGTCATAGCTAGATTATACGATTTTATTTGAGGTTAAAATTAAATGACATTTACAGAAATTGGTCATTTATGTGAGTTAACAGGTAAAGATTAACCTGTTATTGATCTGAGAACATAAAACATCTTTCTTTCTGCTGTCAGGCAGAGTCTTTCTACAAAGAAGCACTCAGAGTTTGATGTCTGTATTGTTGGTGATTCTTAAAAGTTTGGCCATTTTTAATCATAAATGGAATCAGGGTTTGAAAATAGTCACTGGAGAAAACATATTCAGTGTTGAGTGTGTACATTTTTACTGGTAAAATTAGTAACTAGTGAAGTTAATGTTAGCAACAGACTTAAAATTTTGTGAAAAATTTTTATACAGGATCCTGAAAGGACAAGACAGGTATATCAAGCCTCTTTGGAACTAATTCCTCACAAAAAGGTATGCTTGCTCTAAAGTGTTCAACTCCAACCAGGTCAAAATTCTCATGTATTACTTGTGAAATGATAGGATGAAATAACATTTAGTGATTATTTCCCTGTACTAGACACCATGGAAAACATAAATAAGAATGAGATTACACAGAGGATAACCTGTATTGAGAAAAAAATTAATAATATAGATAATGTAAAAATTCAGAGGAGGCTGGGTAATTTGAATAGGCTGAGTAAAAAGGAAAACATTGACAAGAATTCACACAACATATGTGAGAGACACAGAACTTTGTTGATAATTGAGTGCATCCCTTGCTTCTCTAGAGATGGTTGAGATGTTACCTCTGCCATGTTTCCTAGCACAAGAAACAAAGTCTTTCCTGCTGTTGAAGTATTGGCCAAGTTATCTTCTCAGAATAGACATAGGATGTTCTGTCTACATACAAGCGGCCCACAAAACAAGGCCTATTCAAGGAGAGGCTGCAGTGTCATGAAGTACAGTAAAGTATCTGAATCATGATGTTTGTAACTGTTGTGAAATCTTTACTTGTAAGTAAGCAAAATACATCCTGCCTCAGAAGTTTCAGGAAAATCTAACTGCCAGTAGCCTTTTGTTAATTTAAATTTTCTTTAATTCAACTTACTTTAAATGAATTTCTTCAGTTAAATATTTTTATGCTTTTGTTTCCTAGTTCACGTTTGCCAAAATGTGGTTATATTATGCACAATTTGAAATAAGACAGAAAAATTTACCATTTGCCAGAAGAGCTTTGGTAAGTAAAGAATCAGATGCCTCATGAAATTTCTCGAGAAAGAATTTAAAATCTTAGTGCTTACAAGTTGTACAGTTCCTGCTCTACTAAAAACACAACAGAAATTCCTATCACCATAAACTGGGACATGTTAGGAAAAAATCGTCAGATTATGATGCTTAAATTATTCTTATTACCTAGGGCAAGTGAACGTTCTCTTTCAATATTGGAAATATCTATAGCTACCAATTGCTAGATCTGTCCTCAGACTAGATGCAATAGTCTGGTCCTGTGCAAACTTCTGGTGTATTAAATGCATCTTCCTCCTAAAAATTGTTCTGAAATTTTAATAGGATCAAATCCTATATTTAATTGTGATTTCTCTTCAGATAAGCTACTATTACCTTGGCTGTGGACAGCAAATCAAGTTTCACTCTTTGATTAGCTTTTTATTTGAAGGAGGTTTTAATATCCATTTTTTCTGAGAAAGTTTAAAGTCCAAAATAGTGGATTAGGTACCAGTGAGCACAGGCCATCTTGTCAGCTGGTTGAGCTACAGAAGTGTCTTCTGGTCTTTTGTTAAGAGCCACTGTGAACAGTGTTATACCACAGAGCAATATTATGGACTGCCATGTTGAAATGATCGTGCAACCCACTGAGGTATTGCAGTCATCTGGTCATTTTATTTTTCAGGGAACTTCTATAGGCAAATGTCCAAAGAACAAGTTATTTAAAGGCTACATAGAATTGGAGCTGCAGCTTCGAGAATTTGACAGATGCCGGAAGCTTTATGAAAAGTTCCTGGAATTTGGGCCTGAAAATTGTACCTCCTGGATTAAATTTGCAGAACTAGAGACAATCCTTGGTGATATTGAAAGAGCCCGGGCCATTTATGAGTTAGCCATTAGCCAACCACGCTTAGACATGCCGGAGGTGAGGATCTCAAGTTGCATATATTTTGTTCTAGAGACTTCTCTAGACTTCCTTTAGATAACCATCTAAGAGAAAAAGAGAGAGAGAGAGAGTGTTTTAGAATAGAAACATGATCTGACTAGCCACAATCTTTTCTACTCAGATTAGGATTTTTCTGTTTGTAGAATAGGAAGATGGGTGGGGGTGAGGGTAGTTTTAAAATGAAGGCCTCTAGCTAGGTACCAGAACACAGTAGACACCCAGGATGAATTAGGATATAATGGCATGGATGATGAGCTCTCTTCCTCCCTTCCTCAAACCGGGAAAGGAAGAGAAGAGAAGGCCAGGCAAGCAAACAGCCAGCAAGCAGCCCATGTGGAGAACAGGAGAAATAAAGGTGGGGACTGCACATTCCTGTTCTAGTACAGTTTTGCCTAGATCGGGCCAATAAAAGAGGCTCCAACCAAACCATAATGTGTCTAGAATTATAACTGCTGCTGTCTTGGCCAGCTTTCAGTAGTAAGCTTTAGCCACATGGTGGCGCCAGACTATAGGACTGATTTGAGTGACACTAGAGTCACAACTCACTTGGCCATTTTGTCAGTATTGACCTAACATGACCCTACATTAATGGTTCAGGCCCCACTGACCACATCAGGACAGTGCTTTGTATCTCTGGTTCCATCTCTTGGCCTCAATTCTTCCACTAGACTGCTGCTCCCACATGTCCAGGCCAGTTTATTTATCCTTGTGCTTGACAGGTAGGCACCTATTCAATAAATACTTGTTGAGTTTAACTCAAATAACAAGGAATTTACAGTAAAGGTTAAGACATACTGGCTAATTTGGGCCAGTTTTCTCCCCCATGATTAATTGCATGTGGTAGAATCATAAAAGTACCTGGGAGACACTTAGCAAATTTCTCAGTTCTTGATTAAATTGAACATTTTGGAAAAACTCCAAAGGAGAATCTAAAACTGAATCCATGGTCTTTTGGCCTATAGTCTAGAATTCTAGCCGAGTTTTAGCAAGCTTATAAATGCCGATACTATTATTTCATTCATATGCTGTCAATTAACTCCTTAGCATAAGTTCTGTTCTTGGATGTAAATTAAAATGTAGGTAATTTGTGCTTTGGATGGGTGCATCTGCTTTGTAAATGTTAAGACTGACCTATTGTTTTTCTTAGGTGCTTTGGAAATCATATATTGATTTTGAAATTGAACAGGAAGAAACCGAAAGAACAAGAAATCTTTATCGACAATTGCTTCAGCGAACACAACATGTCAAGGTATTCTGTGATTTGTTGTTGATCTTTGATTTTGCTTGAATCAGCAGTCCTAAAAAAATACTTTGTGTATTTTTTTTATTAGAGAATTTAACTATACATAGTGATGAACATCTGTAATCTCAGGTACTTGGGAGGCTGAGGCAGGAGGATCAGAACTTGAAGGCTAGCTTGGGCACCTTATTGATACCCTATCCCAAGTAAAAATTTTAGAAAGGCTTGGGATGTAACTCAGTGGTACAGCCTTGCCCAGCATGCATGAGGTTCAATCTCCAGTACCATAGGAAAAAAAAGAAAATTTATTTTAAATTATTTCTTTGCTTTTAATGAGGACCCACAAGTCTCAGAGGACTTGTGAATGTTAAACTTATACAATGTATATGTTTATACTGCATGTGAATATCTTGGATATCACGAGATTGGAAAAAGTTCCTCTTTTCATGGTTATTATCAGATATAGAAACAAATTACTTCCATGCTTACATTGACTCATATAGTCAATGTATTCTGTGAAACACTAGAAATGACTATATCATATTCAGATATCATGAACTAGAAATTAGCTTTATTATTATTATAATATGACTGTCATCTAGATGACATTGCTAATTTGATTCCTTAATAATTTTCTTTTAAGGTATGGATCAGTTTTGCTCAGTTTGAGTTGTCTTCAGGGAAAGAAGGAAGTGTGGCTAAATGTAGACAGATTTATGAAGAGGCTAACAAAACCATGCGAAACTGTGAAGAAAAGGAAGAGAGACTTATGCTGCTAGAATCCTGGCGAAGCTTTGAAGATGAATTTGGAACAGCCTCAGATAAGGAGAGAGTAGACAAACTCATGCCAGAAAAAGTCAAGAAGAGAAGAAAGGTCCAGGCTGATGATGGGGTAAGAGCTGAGCCTTGAAGCTATGTGTTACATGAGTAGAAATGTATGAATTTAAAGTTATGTTGTATATATGCCATGAGAATGGGAGCACACCGCCTAGAGTAAGAGTCACTTGCAGTCTGGTTACTAAGGAAGGACAGCCAGGGTAGAGGATTGGGATGGGGATTGGCAAAAGCTTTTGGGGTATGGTTGAGTCCAGGAACTATATAAAATGTGATGTTTCTAAAGTAGAAAGCCAATGTGGAGGGAAATAAACTCACCAAGTAGAGCTAATCCAGACAAAGTTTTGTAGGCATAGGAAGGAGTTTGGTGGGAATTTATTAAAGGCTTTTTATAGATAAAATGACATAACCAGATTGCTGTTATTTCATACAGGAAAGCTTTGAGAGTCTTAGATTGCATAAAGAAAACCTGTGATAAAGCAGTTTTTGTAAGCTAAGTAAGTGCAGGTAGAAGTGGGGGCCTAGAAGAGCAAATTTTGGCAAGTGAAATCAGTAGTCGGAGGTAAGGATGTAAGGGGCACAGGTATATAGCTTTTGCTGTTAGATACATGTGAAGTAAAAAATCTTTAAAAGTGTAAATCTTAAACATAAGACTGCAAAATGTAGTTAGAGACACTATCTTCTTGGTTGACTATGGAGCAGAATTTTCTTCCACCAGATTTTCCCATTTTGGTGAGCTACAACTCCAGCAACACCAACCTAGCAACTCCTTATTCATGTCCTATCTTTCAGGCTTGGCTTTTGAGTTTTTTGTAGTAGGTTTTGATATTGTTTTGTAAATGAAGACAAGGTGAATTAGAACTCTGGGTTTCCAGTAAAAAAAAAACCTCTGCTTTAACTGAAATGTATTTAAGCCAAATGTTTTCTTGCCTTTTAATTTGCTTTATTTCTATAGTCTGATGCAGGATGGGAAGAATACTATGATTACATCTTTCCAGAAGATGCTGCCAACCAACCTAACCTCAAGCTCTTGGCCATGGCCAAACTATGGAAGAAACAGCAACAGGAAAAGGAGGCTGCTGAGCAAGATCCAGATAAGGATGTGGATGAGAGTGAATCCTGATGTTTTTTTCGTATTGAAAAGTATTTTATTATTTTTATAAATTGATAGTTTGGAACTCTTGAGACTCCTGGAAGTTTTTATATTCACCAGCAAGGAATTATTTGGGATGGCTACTTTTTTGAATCATTTTTAAAATGCTCTGGATTAGGTAGGGGTGAGGAATTGCAAGTAAATGCATTTTTTAAATGCTGGATTTCTTCACTTGACTCCAAACTTTCCTAATGTTTGTCTATATCATGCATTAGGAAATGTAATTGAGGTTATGCTTAGCATCTATTTTAGATGGACCTGCAGACTTGACTTATTTTTTTAAAAAAGTTTTCAGGTTACAGTCTGCAGTAATTTTTCAGATATAGTTTTCTAATGTTATGCATTCATGAAACCTATAACTTTTTACTGTTTTCAAAGTCACAGTCTTGAATTCAGTTTCTAGCACTGCCACTTAGTGATTGTGTATTTTAACCTTTTTTTTTTTTTTCAGTTTCCTTGCTCATAAAATAGGCCAATTCTTTGACAGCACATTTCAAAATTATATTAGAAAAATACCTGGTGCACAGTAAGTGGATAAAACGTTTGTTCTTTTCCACTCTTAAATATGTTCATTCCTTGTAGATCAGGATATGCTTGAATTAACATCAAACCTTCTCAATAGTGGCCAGTTATACCAAAAGCTACTAAAAATATTGCAAAATTAACTTACAGTGACTATTTTTCTGAAGTCATTTTTACTAATAACATTTAGTTTCAATTATACCATTATTAGTTCCTTAAACTGGTTTGAGTTTTGTAGTTGAGTTTTGACTTGTTTTTAAGATGTGCTGTGAAAAATGATGCCCCCTTTTCAAATAAGTTTGGGAAATCCTAGATTAAAGCTTAAACTGTTAATGTAGTCTCTAAAATCAGTCTTCTTGGAGCCTTTGGTATACTGCTATATATCATGAATCTTCATAATGATGCTGTCCTATTGTTTCCCAAATTTAATGAACAATGGAATTATAAATTTTATCTAGAATATCATCTCTGTGTGCTAAGTACAAAAAATGTTTACTCATAACACCCAACATGTTAAACTTAGCCTAGGGGTTTAGAGCATACGTAAAAACACTGAAGGTACCATATACTAAATAATGAAAGCTTAAAGTAGCACAAGAATGAAAACATTATTAATATTATGGTGTATTACTTACATTCTCAAGCAGAAAAACTAATCTGTTTCATTTAACTTAGCTTGTATTTCAAGCATACTTTTTTGTTTTGCTTTGTTTACTACTCAAACATACAGCTGTATTTTCAAGACTCTTTCTCACCTGTAGGACCATTACTAAGCAAATTTAATATTAAATGTATAAACTCATCCAAGGGAGTAAAAGAGACTTGGTTATTAATTTCTATCTTGAAAATTAGGGCATTTGAGGGCACAAGAAAACAGAACTAATAATAAGCCTTTTTGTCTTCTGCTTTTGTTACTGGACCAGTTTCACACTTTGGGGTGTCAGATTGGTTATACTGATTGAGGTCTTAGGAGAATCTGATTGTCCTTTATTAAATATGCAGTCAAGGGGAGAGACAAATAGGTCTGATCGTTAATGACCAGCCAGTCTTCCTAGAATTATCTGTTCTGTTTAGGTTGCGTGTAGACATAAGAAAAAGTTAGGGATCATGTTCTCGAAGTCATAACAAATGTGCCAGTGTGAAATGCTGGAAGGAAAGTTATTCTCCTATGGGAGAACATAAAAGATGCATTTATCTTTTTCCTGAACTTCATCAAAATCCTTTCTACAGTAAAAGCTTTTTAATCATTTCACGTGGATTTTTCTTTAGTTTTTTTCTTTTACTTATTGGATATTTTCAGATGCTAGAAGTAATGAAACTATATATGAAAACACATGGTCAGCCTATGATCTGTTTCTTTAGGAATTAAGTTCCTTTTCTTCTTGAAAAAAAAAAAAAAAACACATCAGCTTCTTTTTGTATTTAGGAAGGCAGGATTTAAACAGTACTGAAAGAAAAAAAAAAAAATCCAGGAAACAACTAGGAAGAATCTGTACATGACAAGCAGCTTAACTGTATATGTAGTAAAAAAAAAAGTAAGAAAAATATATCTGATGAACTTTCATAATCTTGATTTAGTTGTATAAATGACCAGCAGACACCCAGAAAACATTCATAGAATCAACAATGTATTTTATTATACATCTTAGATTTATACATTTCATATATGCTTTTAAAGCTTCAATTAACAGTTCAATACAAAATAAAAAATATATATATATATATATATGTGCAGCAGTGGTTCTCAGGCACAGAATTTAAGAGGCTGGAGCAAGTCTTTTCCCGGCATATAGTGGACATTATGAATTATGATAGTGGAAAGCTTCCTTCTGACCTAGCTGCCTTCTTGATTGAATTTTATTAGAGCAAACAGCTTTAAGACATGTGATATTGCTAAATGGAAACAATGAGCTTGAAAATGTTTATATCCTGTATTTTCTTAAAGTCTTTAAGACCTAAATGATCACTTTTCTCCTAATAGTGCTCCAAGATCATCCAATGAAAATAATATTGTCCATAAACTATTTGGAACAACTGCCTAAGAACCACTGCCTATGGTTATTCAATGTCTTCAGGCCTCACAGGATGAGGTAATGGTATGATGGATTTCTTCTCAGTGTCCCTGGAAAGTGCCTTCCTCATATCTGTTAGGAAGCAAAGTTTAATGTGAAGTATCCAAGTATCAAAACACTTCATATCAAATTTAAAATGTATGTAGGTAAAGTTCCCATAAAAGATTTTGTCCTATATTCCCACTTCCAGACTCTAAGAGAAATGTATTTATAAGTAAGACTTCCAATTGCAAGTATATCAGATGCTAACCAAACCCCACCCAGGATTTAATTCATCATACACATTCGATCTTAAATACCATACTCATAATATTATGAAACAATAATTTACAAAAACTGACCACTGGTTAGTTAATGTAACTTAATCACTAATAAAGTTCATAAACATGTTAAAGGTGATTTAAATATCCAAGTCCAATATGGTTCTTTTTAATATATTAAAATAATTGAATATTTCAACCTGGAGAAAAAATTTAACTGTTCTGGCTTCTTCTTGGAGTTACTGCTTTGGAAGGGAGCTTACCATAAGCATCCTCATCGGGCTCCCCGTTGCTGGCTGAATAGTACTCTATGACCGTCCTATACACACTGTAGCCCAATTGCTTGTACATGTTGACTGCAACTTGGTTAGATACTCTTACAAAGAGATCAACAAAAAATCCACCCTTTCTTTAAAAAAAAAAAAAAAAAAAAAAAAAAGAAAGATGTTGGAATGTGAGAAACCCTAGGAAGTAATAAATACAGATTTTTAAAAACAATACTTGTTTTTACTTTGCTTTGACTACTCAGTAACAAGACTTTGCAGCTTGACAATTCTGCGGTACAAAAAGATGACTGTTTTTGCAAACAGTCAAAAGCTTAATACGTTTTCTTAAAATATATTTTTTTCCTACAATTTTGCTACTGGTTTTTAAAAATTACTGTGTATTTTATGTCACAGTAATTGATATGCTTATTTTATAAAACAGTCATAGTACATGATGTTTTCTCTCATGTGCACAAACGGCAAATAGCCATAGCAGGATGCTGGCTGCAGCCCTGAAGCCCACAGGTCTTTGTAGTAATATATACGTTCATTCACTCAGAGGTCTCCACATCCCGACCCTTGTGACCAGACTATTTTCTGTTTGCTTTCTGTTGTCGATTTACCATCTATTATAGTTTAGTTCCTCCTGTTTGTTGTCTATATGTAATGGAATCAGACTTTATGCATTCCTTTGTGATTCGCCTCAGTCAGCACTGTGAGCTGGAGCTTGTTCATCTTCACTTTGTTAAGCATTCCACTGTATGAATACACCACAAGCCATCCATGGTCCTACTGAAAAGCATTTCCAGTTTGTACTAGCACAGTTTATGCTGTGGAGGCTGATGTAGCTCAGTGGGAGAGCTCTTGCCTAGCACATGTGCAAGGCACTGGGTTCAATCTCCTGTACCGCCAAACACACAAGCACACATACAAAACAACCACCACCACTAACTATGCTGCTATGAAAACTTTTTAATTGAGCATCTTGTGGAATAGTATCATCTAAGATCTATAACTAGGATATATATTGTTGTGTCATAACCGTTTTCAACTTTATTAGATAATGCCAACCTGTTTTCCAAACTGCTTGTAAAACTTACCCTTCTATAAAAGTGGATGAGACTCCAATCCCACAGTAACAAGCTTTAATGCATCTGACATTTTTATTTTTGCCAGACTAATGGTGTAATGATATCTCAGTGTAATTTTAATTTGCATTTGATTACTAACAAGGCTGAATATATTTCTGGTTATTGATCATTTAGATTTCTCCTATTCAATACTTAGTAGTCTTTCACACAATTTCCCCCCAAGCTGCAGCTGTCTGTGTATTTTGGATATTCAGCATTATATAATATTTTTGGAAATATCTTTTCCCTGTTTGTGGCTTGTCTTATCATTATCTCCAATGTATCTTTTTTTTTTTGAGAGAGAGAGAGAAAAAAAATATCTTTTTTGTAGATGGACACAACACAATGCCTTTATTTTTATGTAGTGCTGAGAATTGAACCTAGGTCCTGCCCGTGCTAGGCAGGCGCTCTACCGCTGAGCCACAATCCCAGCCCTCCAATGTATCTTTTGATGATCAAATTTATGCCAGTTGTTAGTAAGGTTGAACATAAAACCTTCTTCTTACAGTTAAGCACGTTTTGGCCTGTTCCAAGTTATTCTTTTGTACCCTGAGGTCACATAAACATTCTTCTATCTTATATCCAAAGAGCTTTTTAGTTTTGCCTTTTACATCTAAGTTTTTAATTGATTTATGAATGTTCATCTAGTGACTATAAAGTATATTTACTAGAGGTTTATTATTGATAATAATTTTTCTTTTAGGTTAAGGACACTCTCCTCCTTTTGCCTAGTTGGCTAACAGTTTGTTGTTTTTGGTTTTTAATCAAGAATGAA